CCATTGTTGTACCAAAAAAAAAAAAAAAGAATTCGTCGCGACGAAACACACCGTCCATCCGTGACGTCGCTTCGTTTAATAGGTGGGCTGCGCTGCTCCGTAAGCGCCGTAACTGCGTTGTCGCGGGACTTGGCTGGTAGAGCGTGGAGGAGGGGGGCAAACAACGACCCGTCATCCGTCACGAACAACAAGACACGTTCATACGACCCCATGAGACCACTACGCTTCGAGAGACAACGCCTTGCACGGGCCTACCAACGGCCTGGGCGACGGGGACGGTGATTTCTTCGACAAATTCAACGGTTGTTGGCTGTCCGCGATGTCCACCTGTAGCTCCATCATGTTGCTCGGGCAGCCGGACAGGACGAGCGTCGCTGCCGTACTCGAGGCAGGCCGTGGACTCGTGCTCGTACTACTCGTCGCCGCCGCGGATAAGTACCTTGGCGACGAGGCCGGCGAGTTCCCGACCATGAGGTAGTCCGAGGAAGACTGTTGCTGTTGCTGTTGTTGTTGTTGCTGTTGCTGCCGGGCGCCCGTCGTCGTTGTAATGACGGACGTAGCGGGCCATCTGGTTGTCGAGTAGCTGCTGGTAGCGCACTGTAGCAGCCCTTGAGATCCTTGGGGTGAACGGGCGGTGATCGTGGTCGTGGAGGCGCACTGCTCCGCCGGCGAGGGCGATGCAGTTGGCGACCTGGGACTCGCCTCTCCGCGCATGATATAGTTGTGAATGATGTCCGTACGTTTCAGTTGCTCGGCCGTCATTCGTGGACCCTCCATCAGGCTTCTGGCTAACGTCGAGTGCGTGCTGCTCAATAGACTGGCCGTTTGAGGACATTGAGCTTGTACTTGATTCGACGGACTTCGAGCCGGTGGCGAGGTTAGGTGAAGATGAAGCTGCGACTGCGTGTGCTGTACGATCACTGCTGGCTCAGCTTCTGCACTGTCTTTCTGGCGTAGCGCGCGGAACTTTTTGTGAGGCTTGTACGCCTCGTCCATGAGAGAATTAGTATCGTACAACGGAGGTGCTTGAAGTACTCGTTTCAGCACGGGCATGTCTTCAACTTCTTTGTCCTCGGAACGGGGACTGGAGCAGACGGAGGTCGGTGCACTGCTGGCACTGCTGCTTGCTGGTTTATCTGGCTTTTCAGTGCCTGATTCGATACCGCTGTCGCTTGGAGAGTCTAGCTTACGGAATCGTGGACACTGAGGTGGCTGAGGCGTCTTCGAGAGAGAGGCACGATGTAGTTCATCGTCGCCGGAACTCGTACTTCCTGAGTTCGCTCGTCGACGATGAGGACAAAGACCACCAGCTAGGGTAGCAGCTAGAAGAGGAGCGCTGGACGCGTGGTGACCACTTGGAGGGGCCACGTGATGGTACTCCGTTAGAGAAGCGACTTCCGCGCTTTCGGTGCTCGACACGCTGCCTAGGGGACTCTTCACGGCCTCGTCTAGAGTTACATCCGAGGCTGAACCCCAAGATGCAGGTGGTTCCTCCTCCATGGGCCAATGTTGTTGCTGCGGTTGCTGAGCGTTGATCACGTGCTGCGTTTGCTGTTGCTGTTGCTGGTGCTGTTGTTGAGCTTGCATTTGCTGTTGTTGCTCGGTCATTTTAAAGGCCAACAATTTCTCCGAGTGGAGAGTGTTCAGAGTTCTCAAGTCTGGGATCTTTTTCAGCAGTTCTCTCAAGATATCCGGATGCTGAGGATGGTTCTGTGCCAGGACAGTTTGGAGAGCGTTCCGTAGTTTATTGTGCATGCGCTCGACCAGCTCTGTGTTGCGTAATCCTGGTCTATCCGCGGCGATCACAACTACCGAACAGAACAGTCCCAGCTCCGCGTCCGATAGCCGCAAGGAGTTCACCCTCTCGGCGAAATCGAACATCGAGTCCATGAGAAATCGAGCGTTACTGCTATTATGGATCGATTCCCGTTTGAGCACCTGTCCATTTAGACAGATCATGCTGTTCGTTTGAGCGTCGAACATGCAGGCCAGCCGTACCAACAACACTTCGAACACGCCGGCCTTCAACAGCGTGACCTGATCGTCCTGTGCCAGTAGGCTAAAGCCAGGAATGCGTTTCGCGAACTCCACCACACCACGTATCGCTGGTGAGAACCTCTTCGAGAAGTCTTGCAACAATTCTTGCTGCCCAGTCAACGGTTGAGGATTGGGGTTTAGGGGGCATGCCTGCAACCGTGAACAAATACCGATTCTAGATTAGAATCTCGTAAATTATTATACGTATAGAAAAGTCGTAAGTGTCTCGAGCACGATTGGAAAAAGCTTAACTTCCTCGTTCAGTCGAGGACGACTGGTTCGATTTCCGCGTAGCATGGACTGTGTCTCGGACGATCCAAGGTCCGTTTGCTATTGACGTAAGCGGTAATAAAAATGATTCGTCCGAAATGCAAAGTCTCGAAAGCGAATGTACAGACAACGGAAAAAAAGATAATAAAAAAAATACAAAAAAGTAAGAGACGAAGAGTGAATTAAATGTCAGTAAACGGGTTTACGAGGGAACAACATACTCACCAAGGTCGGTGGACACGCGGTATAGTTAGGCGTCTCTCGAGCTCTGACCAGGATCGGAGCTACCTTGTCCCTGGTAAAGTCGCATGTGTCGAGATGAGCTTGCACAACGGTGGCCAAGAGACGTTGCTCGTCCTCTAGCTCGGCCGCTACTGCCTTCTCTTGAGAACGGCTGTGGGAGCTTTGCTGCATAGCAGCCAGAATCCTGGCCTTCTCGCGCTTGGGCACACGGCCGAATCGCACCGCTATAACCAGAAACAACACGAATGGCAAACCATTAGACACCGACGAGAATCAACGAGACGAACGAGACGGTTCGGTTTGGTCAGTGGTAAGCAGAAGGAAGGACACGTCGATGAATAGTTAATGCGATCAATGAATGAATCATGCAACGGACACGGCGTGTCGGGCTACGTCCCGCGGCCTTCGAACGCTTCTGACACGCGCGCAATTACGAGGAAAACTGGTACGCGTCTCATTTCATGAAACACCCTCGCGTTTTCTTATTAATACTCGTTCAACGTCAAGGGAAACACCATTGGTTCATAAAATAATCTTTGATTTATTTTTCGTGCTTCTGTATATTTTTACTTTTTTTTTTTTGTATTTTTGTATTACGTATCACCGCACCAAATATATAGTTAGGGTTAGCACATGTTTCGCATATTATATTTCAGGCAGGTGGATAAATGTCTTGATGCCTACACACGATCTGCACTAGGTATAGAAAAAAAAAAGAATCGAGAGGGGAAAGCGCACGACTTTCTCGCGCGCGAGAAACGAAAGTGGCGGTTGCCTTGGCCTTGCGCTACGAATCCTTCCTCCGTTAGAAAGTCACGAGAGCGGGTCGACGGGTGGAGGGTCGTGAAAGGGAAACAACGATATTTCGATAACACTCTTTTGTTAAAAAAAAAAGTCTCTTCTGAAACACCTACGTGCATTATGATAGTTGACAACTCCGTTGAGGATTCCTTTCAATATAGGTAACTCGTCTCCCATGACGGTCGAGGAAAAACGATCGAGTGGAATGCTCGATCCCTTAATCGTGTCTGCGGCGTGTAGCTTCGGAGCGAACTGCACCGCGCACCAAAATTAATCTCCCATCGGCACGATCACTATGGGTCGACGTTCGCGTTGAATTCGTTCGGCACAGCATACACGCAACTTTTTTTTCTACAATTACGAATGTTTTCCTCTTCTTTTCTACCCTTTCTGGCGCTTTTATATTCTTCGTATATTTATTTGGAATGGATTGTAATCCGTTTGATGGCTGACTATCGGCTAACTATCGTGGCTACCGCGAGTCACTCCGACGAGGATCGTGTTATGTGGCGCGGCGTGGACGGCGCGCCGCCAGACACACGGCTGTCTGGTTCGCACACGGGCGGGCAAAGAGTTCAAGAAAGGAGCGCGACAGTAGGACGCGTGCAAACGCGAGACAGCATCACAGCCGACTGAGTGATGTTCCGCGGGTTGCGTTCAACAGCCCCTCCACTTATTCAGCCATCAACGACTCCCACCACCGGCCACGATTGTGGCCTTTGCCGAGCCTTTGGCCTTGAACTTGGTTTCAGCGACAGCCGCACGAGGCGTACCGCCGACCTATATATACTATATAGCGAGCGAATGTACACGGTGAGCGTAGCGGCCAGCAAGCACACTAAAAGAGAGGGTGTACGTGACTATGTATATACATGTATGTGTGCGCCTATATACACGTCTACACACACCGCTCTAGGTGTATGCTTCTTTCTTCCTTCTCTCTTTGTCTTGGTGTGTGAATGCGCGACAAAGAGCGGATTCTATCAGAGACAGAGTGAGAGAGAGAGATAGAGATAGGTAGAGAGAGAGGGAGAAAGCAGTGAGACACTCTCTCTCATGTGCGCAGATGCGAAGTTCCTTTGCTGGGGGTAAGCTACCCTCGACGACCTTGGGCAACCCCTTGGCTCGCTGGCTATTTGCCCTGTCACCAGCTGCCGTCGTTGGACTTATCTGTTCACGGACGATCGATGTCTCTCCCGCTATCATCGGATGTCACGTCCTTTCGATTCGACAAAATTAACTTCCTATGACAATATCTCTTGGAATTCGATTTCTCTTTATCTGTTTACCGATCGATCTGTTTACGTCTGCGTGTCTTAAATTCATTCGATCGAAAGAGGTAGTTTAACGTGCTTGCCTGTTCCGGTGACTACGAGGTCATATCGCGATCACGATTCATAACGCGTGGCCCCTTAAGTCACGTACAAATTCCACCGCTAGACAGCTGCAGACACCGGGGCTCTAATATCATGACGGTATTCTACTCGGAGATCATTCGCGAACGTCTAACTGTATTTTTTTCCCCTATGTCATTGACGTCGATCGCTATCTAGAGTGTATCATGTACGTCGTAAAGGAATACGATTAACTCCTAACCGCGTCGATCAACGCAAAATTCCAGGAACTGTATCACTGTCGAGCGACGACAAAATCGAGCGCAAGCACAGGAGCAGGTTCCTCGCCGAGCCTCCAGACGCAAATTGCCGGGCGGCCGAGTCGAGTCATATCTGTTTGGCGGGACTGTCTCGGACGAGCATGCGCTCGAACGCCAGGTGGCTCGACCGCGATAGGGG